AAAAAAAAAAAAAAAAACATAAACAAAAAGATCAAATAGATTAATAGAATCATTGCAAACCAGACCATTAAACATAAATGATACACCAACATAGTGAGAATGAATAGACTATACGAATCCAGAAAAGCTAAATTAAAGATGATGGATATACAAAAAATTGCAAACGACCATTGTGAATCCATGACCAACTCATACAATAATCTTACTCACGATACGAGCATTTTATTAATGAAAAAGCAAAATCCATAAATAATGATGAAACAGACAGAATTGTTTCATAACGAACTTTCCCTGTGACTAACATTTCACAGTACGGCCGATGTTACACAGGTCTAACTCCTAGCCAACCATACTTTTTTTAAATCGAAATGTCGTACTCTCAAAAATAACATAGATAAAAATGTCATTTCATAGCATAAGTACGAATTTTTGTTACAAAAAAAAATAAAAAAATATATACGACAGGGTGGATCTGATCAAGAGATGGCACCTCACACAATAATTTGTATGCATTCATTTAAAGCCATCTTCTTTACCAAGCTTAATACCCCCTCTGCAGTATTTCATGATCATTACATTATTTCCAGAAACAAAAAGATAAACAAGAAAAGGAAAAGCGAAGGCTCGGTGCAGCCGTGCAGGTCTGCATCCAAAAGGTTCGACTTTTTAATCTATGCTTATCTTTTGGAAGCTCGATTTTTGAACCTACCCAAATAATCTTTCTGACAAAAAAGGGATCAGTTTGTAAACAGACTAACACAATCTGCGATTTCCATTGCTAAGCAGAGATAAGATTACAGCAAATCAATCCACAAATTTATCCGGACTCAAAAGAGTTGAGGATTAGAGCCCCGCACCTGAGTAACATCTTCGGCGATGTTGAGGCCCTCAGTCTCCGTCGGCACGTCGAGAAACACCGCTTTACACACAATCCCACAGCCAATGCCGCGAAATTTCCGGCTGACGCTACCTTTGCCGGCGATTGTTATAGCGTTGCCGGGCTTTCCGGACGGAATACGGCAGCGCTTGGCGACGCGCAACTCCGGCGAGAATAGGTCCGATTTTTTGGCCGCGCAGAC